CTTGGCTTTTGTGGAAAAAAGCAAAAATCTGTTTTAAAAAATAATGTGGTGTTTGTTTATTTGTTTGTTTCCTATAACTAAACTGATAGATACAGTTTATGGATTGGCTCTCTATTTTATTATAGGAGGGTGTCTTGTTAGGCTTAAACTATAACAGAATACGCTTAGGTGATTCATATCTTTTGCCATTGAAATACTATCCGGTATGTTAATATAATAGAGAGGATATATGTGTATGCCATCTCTCTGTCGTAGTAATCATAAGCCCTGTGCATGTTCTACATTTATTACATCCTACATCATTCTTAAGATGATCCATGTGCCTCAAGGGAGTTTGGCATTTCCATTTCGCATGTCCTGCTGCCACCTAATGGCAGTGAGCTCAACCTTCACTCTGTGTGCTAAAAACGGGGAGAAAACGGGGTCTCCCTCCGTGTAGAGCAAGCAGCTAAAAGTACTAAGTGCTTTCTTTTTTAGAGTAATAAAAATCTTGGAAAAATAAATTAAACTTATTGCTAATTAATACGATTTTTGTCCTGCACTAGCTATCTAGAGTCATATGTAGAACCTTAGGGGTGTGATACCTGGGGTTCCTGGCCTGTGTGAAGGTGCCAGTCATATTAACCCACACTAAGGGTTACCCAACCGTGGGTTTTTTTGAAGTGCAAAGCAACTGGGTCTATATTGTCAAGGAGCCTTGGGGGCCCACACACTCAGATACCCTCAAACTACTGTGGTGGAATGTATTAGGCTGCAGAAACACTGGTTTAAGCTTGTAGGAAAAAAGTGCAAAGGAACCTTGGCTGCTGTAAAACCAGTTGGGTTGAACAAAAGGACACATATATGCTTATACAGATATATAAAAATACAGCTATAGATACGAATGTGCCCTAGGTCAGGAAAGCTTCAAAGCTTGGCTTTGAAAATCCTGTGCTAGGTCTTGACTGTCTTAGCAGGACAGCTAAGATGTAAGGACAATGATTGCTCCCAACACTCTTCCACTCAGCAATAAATCAAGCTCTGATAACCCACCTCTCCTCACATGCTGACAGCTAGTAGTGTTCCAGGTCACTGACTCAAACTCATCCTCTACTTCCCTTCTTCTCCTTCTAGCCACTAATTCCATATCAATATTAAGAACAGGTTAGATCTGTATCGGGTCTTACATGTGTGGACATAGACCTGTCAATGGGAAGCCTGCAGAGAACCCAATCAGCACATTCCTACTGAAGCATGAGCTGAGCCTTATTGCTGCCAGCATCAGGAATTACCTGGATTAAGGAGTTGACAAAATATGGCTATTTCTGTGCTCTTCCGTAGCAGCAAACCAGCAGTGCCCCACTGACCTGAATATTTTCCTGCCTTGGTTCCTCAGTACCTGTTAGGCTTAGATCTGGCTGTTGATGACTTCTTCCTGACCTCAAAAGCATCTATATGCTTCAGTTGATATTTTTTGGTCTGAGTCCCTGGAATTGATTTCCTGGGAAGGACGTTTCTTCCCGATTTAGACACTGGAGAAAGAAACAATGATAGCATAAAACCAAAGAGAAGCCCTTGCAGATGTGTGTTAACCAAACATCAGTGCTTTAGGCTGAATGTCTCCTTCACTGAGATATTATTGTTGGGACAAGCTAATAAATCTTACACATAGCAACCCACTAACCCTGCTCTATGGGATTTGATGGTGTATATGTCAATATCTAACGCAAGCTGCCAGCAGCCAAATAACTGCATGACCTTGGCAACAGAGCCAGGATCTCCACAAGAACCCAAAGTCTTTTTATAAGTGAATAACAATTGCCCCTTCTTAACTGATAGAGAGAAAACCCTCTAAAAACTTCCCACTGGATTGGGGTGTCCAGTTTAAAGCTGTGTGTAGGAAGCTAACTGCAGTTCACAGAGCACTTAAATGAGAAACAAGAGCTAAGCATGTTTGCAAAGTCAGTTGCAAACTCCAGCTGTGCTCAGATTTGGAGAAGACCACCGAGCGGGTTGCTCTTGTAGGCATAGGGATGCAGCCACCAACGGCCTGAGCAGCTGACAGAGATGCTGGCTCCTTCTAAGCCCTTCCCACGAACTGCTGTAATCCCACTCACAGCATCTCTTCAACACAGTAAAACCCAACCACCACCACCAAAATTTTCACTGGCATTTTTCCAGCCTGTTCTACCACTCCCCACTCAGTTATCTCTGTGTGGCTTCTATTTAGGGCTGTACTTTCTCTCCCCTCCTCCCTCGCTGCTACGAGGGTCCAAGCAGAAACATATTGGAGGCCTGAGGACTATGCCAACAGTTTTAGCTTCTTTTGCTCACATTTCATCAGTGAACTCTGCAATGCAGAGCCAGGAGATTTCAAGCAAATGTCTCTGCTTTGCCAAATACTGCCTTCAACAGACAACTGCCCTGAGAAGGAGTTTGCTTTTCTCTAAGGAAATTGCACTTTACCATCATGATCTTCCAAGAAACCATGGCTCCTGTACACCTCCTTCCTATGCAGGACTACCACCAGCCTACATCAGCACCAATTTCAGAGCTCAGTCAGGTTTTATCCACTGAAGGCACCAGCCAAGGTACAGAGTTTACACAGAACACATATCACCTTGAGACACAGATGCACCTAGTGAAACAACAACATTTTTTCTTTATTAGGAGTTCCCATGGTAATATAACACAGAGTTCTTAGGGAATAAAACACAAGACTTGGGGTAGGGGTGGGTTTTTTTGCCATTGAGACAATGGTCAAATATCAGTACTTCCTTTTGTCTACACAAATGATCAGCTTTAGCACTTACAGCTCCTCCACTCATTGTTCACAATCACAAATCCAAGGGTTAAATCCAGCTAGTATTAAATCCTACTTTTTTTTGTTTTAATTTTTAGAGCTTCAAGTCACTGCGGTTAATTAATTAAGTCATAGTCTTTTTTTTTTCTTTAAGCATTTACATATGACATTCATTAAACAGACACAAAGCGGACGAGCTCTCACAGGAAAAAACATGCTTACATAGCCTGCAAAAATCTTTTTTTGTGATTTTTTTTTTTCCTTTTGAACAAATTAAAAAGTCATCATGAGTCAGTGAAGGAAAAAAAAAGGAAGACTTAAGTGAATACTGAAGAGCCGCAAGTGTTTTGCAGAACTGAAATGGATCTGCAATTCTTTTTTTCTCCCCAACTCGTTCAAATTGATTTTAACATACAGGTGAAAAAAAATGAAAATAGCTGCAATATATATTAAGTTCATGGATTAATTAACAAACAAAGTGCAAACTCTCTTATGCAAAACTAAAAGACCCAAGAGTTAAACCTCAATGCAAAATGCATGGATGAATATGGCAATGTTTTTCTTAACTTTTGTGTTCAAAGGGGCCTAGAAGAATTAGGTGCTGAAGCTGGGAGGGTTTGGGTACCTACATAGCTTCCAGACCCTCTGCAAATCCCAACATTGATACTTTCATAACAACAAATTTGGTACTTGTTTCTTAAAAGCCTTCATACATATAGTTTTTTCCCCTAAAAGAACCTGTAAACACCATTTAAGAAAATACAAATATGGAAAAACAAGATCAATGTACGTGGCAAAGTACAAATAGAAGAGAAAGCAGAAGATGCAGCCAAGTGCCAGGGCATCCCGACAGTGGAGGTAATGCTGTGTTAACTGTGGGTAGAAAAGCTCTCTGTGCTAAAAGACAGGCCACATCCTTGGGACCACCGAGCCCTCCAGCTAAGTCTAAGTGGGAATCTAATGGTGCAGATTTATTCTCCATGTCCTGAAAGTAAAGAACCTCCAATACTAGACTAAAAGACCTTTAATTGCAGAAGATACTTAAATGCCCACATCCCGCTCTGCGAGTCTGCCACAGAAGCTGGGGCTCCTAAATTCATTCAAGGACCACTCATGGCCTCTGACTTCTCAAATCTGAGAGCAGGCATCTGAGGAAGGGTGGGAACCACCAGGCTTTCTCATGAGTATTTGCACAAAGGCAGATTCCTGAAGGAATGAGTGACTTTGAAATTCACACTGTGTAGGAGAGATTCTCAGCTGCTGTTGACCCACGGAGCTGCTCTGAGGCTCCCAGTTACAGCAGCTGGGCATCTGGAGCCCAGTTGGAATTGCCACAGATGCTCAGGCACACACTGAACTGACCGGCCTTTTGATGAGAGCTGAAGATAAGCTCTCATAAAGCTTTAAATAACCACTCATCGATGGCCAGGAAGAGGGAACGTGGCTGCTACAGAAAATCTTTCAAGCAACATGTTGCTCTTTGCCCATGCTCCCCATGCTTACTGATTTCTACCTCCAGGGACAGAAGACAAACTAACTGCTAAAAACTTCTCAAGAGACCCCACCCCAGCTCCTCAGCTGGTATCCAGCCCCTTTGTTTGCACCAGCTCACGACAGAGTACACCCAAAGTGTAGCTCATAGCTTATGAACCTGTTCTGTGACCTCCTATTGCAGCTAAGTGGCAAGCGTTGGCTGAAACGATGCAACCTAGGAATAGCAGGGTGGCTGTGGCAGTGACACTGGTGGAAGCCTGTAACTCGAATAAGGTTTAGAAAGGACTGGGAAGAAGAGGGAGACCCCTGGTTCTCAGATAAGGCTTCGTAAACACAATGATACAAACATCAAAAACATACACAAACATAAAAAAAAAAGTTTTCTCAAGGACCTAATTTGCAGCAAAATCCAGAATGAAAAAAAAAGAAACAAACAAAAAGAACTAAATTCCCCAACAGTTCTAGCTCACCCAATGGCTGGTGCCATATGCTTTGCCAATTCCTAGTGCTGGGTCCTGTTTCTCCCTTCTGGCAGCAGACAGCTACTCAGTGACCTCACGGGTGGTGCTGGGGAATGGTTACAGACAGGCCTGGGATTCATCACCCTCTGTGCTTGCCTAGCTATTCTGCTGCAACACAGAACCTTACAGAATATCCAGTTTAAAACCCTTGAACTACTCTTCTGCTTGACAATTTAAAAAAAAAAAAAAAAAAAAAAAAGCTATTTTTTTACATTTATTATTTATTTATTCCTTTTTTTGTGTGTGTCTTAAAGGCAGCTCCTGGGAAATTCACTTTATCCTTCCTTTATTAAAAGAAAGATGCTGAATGGGACAGAGGCCACATATCTCAAACATCCTCTTTACATTTACTTTTCCATGTCAGAGGTGTCAAAACAGGGTTTATTCTTTTAAATGTGTAGGGGCTGAGGGGGGAAGTGAGGGTTGGTGAAGATGAGGAGGGAATCTGAGGGGACTGAAAGAGGCGCCTTACATCAGCCCCCCCCCACTGGTTGCCCGCAGTAACCGTCACAGGCTCTAAAAGAATCAAGAAGGGTCTCCAGGTGCCCCCGTCCCCGGTCCGCTGGCGGGCACTGAAGGGGGTTGGTCCTTAGCCCAAGCTGGTGATGTTGGCACGTCCGCCTGGCGGTGCCACGATGCGCTGAGTCGTGCGGCGGGGGATGTTGTCATCAATCTGTGCCCCTGCAGGAGAGAGAAGCAATGTCAGGTCCCCCAGGCCGGCGGGGTTTGAGATGAGGGAACTGCAGGACAAGGGAGTCAGGAGAGCACGGCTGCACTGAAACCCATCATGTCCTCTTGGGGCAACAGCATGCACCAAAACACTTCATCTTTGAAGGAAAAGCCCTTATTGGCCTCCTTAATTCTGCTGAAACCTGTTCTGCGCTAATATCTTTGCACCTGAGGTAGCCAGCCCTGCACAGGTACCAGTTGGCTAAACAGTTTTCCATTAGTGAGCCTTTAAATTCCTTTGTATAGCTTTCCCTTATTGCCCTGAAACAGCACCCTGAGAAATCAAATCTGCCACATTCCAGATCCACAGCCCATCTAAGCTGGCAAAGCTCCACTGAAGTTGGTGCCATCTGCCCTCTTCAGACACCCGGCTGAGGACCAAGCCCAGATTGTGACAGGATACTCAGCACTCATGCCCCAGCATGAGAATAACCAGGACTTTCTGATGCCTCCTGTACTGCTCTTCCTTTCTAAAAGGATAACCTCCAAGCTAAAAACACATCACAGTCTCTGCCTTCCAATAGCAGCAGAATTAATTCAGAGTATGGGAGTGTAAACAAGCCATGATTCTAAAGCAATAAATAATTTAGCCCCATAAAAATATCTACCAGACAAGCTGAATCCAGACTGGTGTAGGTTCCTCACGGGTGGGGCCTGCTGTTTGGCAGGAGATGTCTTAGCTGAAGACGCTGGTGTGACGGTCTTCGGCGTCACTGACACTTCGCAGACAGGTCCGTCATAGAGGCCTCGAGGCACACCCCGCAGCTCAGCCAGCTGCAAAACACAGAAGCAGGCAGCCCTCAGTGTCAAAACAGCCTTCCAAACAGACCTAAACAGCTGGCCAGATGTTGCTAAGCCGCAGACACATTTCAAGATCTGTGTTTAGTAAGAGGGTTTGAAATCACACATCATCTCTGCGCTGATCCTGGGTGGTAGCTGCTCTCTGAAGCGGCACAGATAAAAGGAAACGTGCTCTGGGCTGCTGTGGCTCCAGCTGGGTGCTGGCTGGTGTGAGCAGCCAGCCTGTCCCTTGCACCGCAAGTTCTGTCCTTTAATGATCTCAAACTACACCTGCTGTTGTATTAAAGGATCCTGACAAATCTGAAATGAAGCTTAGTACTCATCCCCAGAAAGCAAAGCAGTGCTGAAACACAAACAGGGCTGCATGAAAAGGAGCCAGGCCAGCTTCACAGCACCAGCTTGGGAGCTTTAGATTGGGCTAAATGCAATTATTCCAGTTGAGATACTGCCCAATTAGATTTATAGGTCAGACACGTATTTCTGTGGGACATTCTAACAGAAACCACAGATCTGTTCTCTGCAGGGCTAAATTACTTGAGGTTGTAATTTTGATAACTTGCAATTTCTGCAAAAGAACAATTAAGGAAAGATTGCTTGCAAGTTATATGAAGATTACTTATGGTCAGCAGAACTAACACAGCTCTGGTTTTGTCCAGGAGAGGGCAACACTTCAAACATAAAAGTACTTTTCACCTCATAAATCTGACTTCATCTAGAAATAAACTTCTTAAATTCTCAGCCACTAAGTTGCAGCTGACTTCAGTGTCATCTGCTCTGTCAGTTTTTACCAACTAAAGGCATATCAAAAGGCAATTTCTGTTTTGAATGGGTGTATCTTGCAAAAACTCTTTTCCAACAATTTTAGCCTCTTAAAAATAGAACATTCTCACATCCAAATAGTCAGTAGGCTGTGCCAGTGACTCACTAGTCACCAGACAAGAGCATCTGATCTTATCTGACAGAAGGGAAAGCAGCATAATCCATCCATAACAATAAATCAGCAATCTAAATAGTTGCTGAAAGGTTTGGTATAGAAACGCCATCAGTAACTTCTCTTGGTACTTTTGTGGCAGGAGAAGCATGCTGGGTTATTTGCAGATTGACTCATACCCTAACTGGACAGTTTCTGGTCACATTCTTCATCCAGGTGTCCCAAAACAGGGAAGAATTAAAGAGCAGGAAAATAAAATTGGAAGAAAATCCAAGCTCAAGGCAAAGCATATTCATGTAATGACTCAAGCAAATAGCAAAAATGAAAGACAAATGAGATAAAAATGGCCCCTATCCAGGGAATGTTTTCTGTTGCAGAAGTGTGTGTGTCTGCAAGCCAGGGGAGAGCATCTGTTTTCCACCCACTTTGACTCAGGAGTTTCAGCAAGAGAACAAATGTGCATCTAACCATTTATACTCACCCTGCTCCTTGCTTTGATGCGCTTGTAAACGAAGTCAGGGAATGGTTTCTTGGGGATATACCGTCCCGATCCCTCGGTGACATGAAGATTCCCATCCTCCAGCACAATCTTCCCCTGGCTGATAACCACCAGGGGAGACCCACGGCACTCCATGCCCTCAAAGATATTGTACTCCAGAGACTAGAACAAACAAAAGACAGTATGTGGCAAACATATTCATCCCAGCAAAGCCTGCTGTGCTTTCACTGGCAATCACCAGTCATGCTAATTGCCAAATTTTAAGGACAGATGGAAGCAAACTCAACAGCATTTACCTGAGTCATATATGCGTGGTTTAATTGAAAGGCTGGTCTTTATTATCAAACTAAATTTATTGAGGATTTACTTGTGCAAGATTTCCACTGCAACAAGAGGAAATACAGTTTCAAATTACAATACCTCAAAGCCTACTTGTTTAAATGCATCTTGGCACCTATCTCTTCTGAATTGCAAGGATTTTTGGAGTTTAATCTGAGTTTCATACTAAAAATAATGGTAATTTTGAAAAGCTGTACTTCAAACCAGTGTTTTGGTTGATGGGTCAGGGACCAGCACAATCTTGTTTTGCTCTAATGGGATTGCTCATCTTCAATTAACAGGATTGGAAACATTACACCATGGAAAAAACACAGATTTTAAAGGAATCTCTGGTAAATGTCCCACCCATGAAGCATATACACTACAGCCACGTTATTTGGGGACTGTTACTGTAGTGACCTCTCTCTGAGACATATCCAGGTCTTTTTTACTGAGTTAATAATGGAGTTTGCTCTTGAAGTGTGTTGTAAGCATGGGTAGGCTTGACTGCAGATTTACAAATAGCTGGAACAGTGGTTAAACCGACACTGAACCAGGTCCAGGACGAAAAAAAGTTGTGGTGGCAAAGAGGAAGGCTTGGTTAGAAGCTTGTGAATTAGGCTGGTTCCAAGAACAACACTCTCTCCCTCTCTAGCTCCTAATATTTCTTGCCACACAGTGGCAAGAGCAGTGTGAATTCTTGGAAAATGTCTGCATATTGCTCTAGCATTTAAAAATGTAACAATTATCTGATGCCACATAATCACTATGTCTCCTTGTGTCGCAGCAACTGTTCTGCCTGACTTTCAAAGGAGCTTTTGTTTTAAACTTGACCAAAGGATGCCTTGGCTCTAATGGCATCACCCATATCCATTTCTGCTCTAACACAAAGCATGCACAGAGCAAGAGAGACAAATACCCCAACAGGTGTAATGCCAGGTATAACAGACAATGTTATGAGAGAGAGGAAGAGGACATGTAGGAAAGCTGGACATGTAGGAAAAAGAGTTGTTATTTCTTAGCACTTCAAGCTTGAAACAAACCACATGAAAACAAGAAACCTTCATATCCTCCATATTCTTAGCACCCTGTTTGAACTTAAAGCTGCAGTCTCTGGGAACAGCTGATCATTGACTGCTGAGGCCTCCTGAACAGTGTAAGAGTTTCAGGGGGATCCTCAGTCCTTATCCTATAAAACATTTCTGAATGAGCTGGTTCTGCTTCAGCCTAGCCCAGATCTACGGCAAAATCATGGAATCAATCCTGAGTGTATTGCAGCATAACTACAAAAGATAAAGTCTCTGCATTTTGTGTTAGGAAATTTAGAATCAAATTCCTAAAGACAACAGCCATTGCATGGCAAGGACTGTCAAATACTCCATCTGGTAAACTGCTCCTAGCTCTCTGATGTACTTGAAAGCATAAACCTAGATTGAGACCACTAAACTGGGCATCTAATGTCCCCAGTCTCTAAAGCATTCCTCTTCAGACTGGAAGTGTGATGAGCCTGGAAGCACTTCTAAGGTGACTGAAGTAACCAGAATTCTGAGTCTGGATGACTCTGTTAGAAGCCTAAGCACAGGCAGGATGATTCCAGGCCATCTGTGACCAATTCTGACAGAGTTAAATCACAGGGAACTGAACCAAACCTTTTAAAAAAAGTTTCTTTGTGAAAGTGCCCAAGGATCTAAGTGTGGAAGAAAATTTTGCTCCTTCAGCTCCAGAGTGAATGAAAGCATTCACAGGAAAAAAAAGAACAAGGAGTTTTTTCCAGGGAAACATTCCATAGGTTCAGTGAAACAAGTCATCAACAAATGCAAACAGTGGTTGCTCCCTCTCAGCACTTAATGTCACAGGCAGACTCCAACCAGCCCTTTGCACTAGGACTTTTCTGCAGTTTCCCACAGGGTAGGACAACTTTTTCACTGCATGAGCCAGGTGTAAAGATATGGGACACAGCTGTGGGTCACAAGCAAACGGTGCTTCTAAGAGTGCCACCACAAAGAAACAGGGGGAAAGGACTAGTTAGTCTTTAAGCTGCCTTGTACCTCCCTGTGCCAGCTAACATTGGGATTATCACCCAGAAAATCATGTCTAAATGTGACTCCACACATGCACGCCAGATCAGTGTGTGGTGAAAATCCACTCGGACTCAGTGGTCTGGATCAGATCTCCAGCTAAAATGTTTGTGAGCTGAACTAGAAAAGGGGCAGCTACACATCCCCACTGCTAACAAGCCAGAAGACTATAAATGACACATTGTGATAAAAGGCCTTTTGATATTTTAGAAGATTTTTAAAGAGCTTTCTGTGTTCTCAGATCCAAGCATCCAACATTCAGAAAGGGCAGACAATCTCTTTGCTCCAAGGGGAATCTCTGTGTATTCATGTGATTTCAAATTTGGACTCAGTTGTCTTCCCTTCTGCTTGCACAACTGAGCTGTACTGGGTGTAAGAGCAGAGAGGGGTTGGGGCATAGAGAAAACAAAGATGAGTTGTCATGAGCTCTAGTTCTTGGCAGCGCCATCTGACATTGAAGGAAGAAAGGAAAAAATAAGCAGCAGAGTTCACATAGCAGAAAATATTCCTTACTATGTTATGAGTCTTGGCAGAGATTGTCTTGACACTGTCAGGATCCCAGATCACCAGATCAGCATCTGAGCCCACTGCGATACGGCCCTTCCGCGGGTACAGATTGAAGATTTTAGCTGCATTTGTGCTGGTCACAGCAACAAACTGGTTCTCATCCATCTTGCCAGTCACCTGGGGAAAGACAGTCACTGCATTAGCCAGGCAGAGGGACCACTCTGAAAAGCAAATAACTGACAGTGCAGCACATTGCCAATCATCTCCATAGGGGCAAAAACTTCCAAGTAGAAGGACCATAACAGGCATCTGCAGGGTGACAGTAACACAGTGCTGAAGCTCTTTCAGCTCTGAATGTCTAGTTGCAGCCTAAGCCTATTACACGTGACCTACCACAGCCTTATCCCAGATGATGGACATCCTCTCTTCAGTCCCATTGGTTCCTTCAGGGATCAGGGTAAAGTTGTCCTTCCCAACAGCTTTCTGAGCAGTGTTGAAGGTGCAGTGGGCACTGCCAGTAACTTGCAGATCTCCACTGGAAAAGATAGTAATAGGTTTTTAAGATATTTTCTTGTCACAGGTTTACTCATAAAGGTGAAACAGCCTGTTGCTTGCTGACAAAAACAGCCATTATTTTTATCACCCACTTGTCTCATGATGAAGCACATGCTGCATGAACACAAAGAGCTCTACTCACCAGGACAGTAGTGAGTTGAGAAAATCAGGAGTGGTTGGGTCAGGACTCAGTGGTGGAGAAGTTACAAAAGCTGCTGCCTTAGCCCAGTTCTTGCTCCAATAATGAGATCCATCAGTACCCAAGCTGGCTGTGATGGGCTCTCCATACACCACAGTGCCTAGAGGACAGGAACAGAGGCAAATCCACAGTGAGCACCAAGCAACATTCATCTCCAGCCTGGATTCCAGGTATAAAGTATCCTTCTGAAATGGACAGGTTGGATAAGTTATGCCAGTATGGCATACTGCAGGGTTCCTTGATACTTCCTCTTAAGTCTGTGATCATGGAGACACAACATTGGATTGAATTCCCTGGCCTGCATAAACAGATGATCAGACATCATTAAACTTCTGGCCTGTTCAATTCTTCTCTGAAACTAATGTGCTGTATCCTGGGCCAAGAACCTTACAGAAGAGGCTGAAAGGGAACTGTAAGTGTGAGAAGATCTAGTCTCATCCAGAAGGTATGTGGAAGAATGAAGAAAAAAGCACCTGCAGTATTTTTACAAATATGTGTGTATTAAAGATTTAACAACGCTGGGTTTATTGGAGTTGTCTCTGCACACAGGTAAGAGAAAATTCCTATCAGGAAAGCTTCCTGCCTACAGAGAAAGTCCCTCACAGAGGAAGCATCCGTGTTCCTGGTTCCCAAATGCAGTTCAGGATAACTGAATTACTCCCCCGAGGGTACACAGCAAATCTGTGGCAGAACTAGGAAATGAAATTGGATCTTCTGACTCAGTCCAGTGCTCTAACCACCAGTGCATCCTTCCTCTTCATTAACATTTTTGGAACCACATGAAGGAACAGCAGATCTTTAAGGCCATGATACTTTGCAAGCTGGAATGCACCAGCAACATCTGCACGCCAAGCAGATGTAAGATGCTGCAACTTCAAAAGCAATGCCAGCTGGTAGCCCCACAGATCTGCTCACCAAATGAAACCTCCCTGAAATCTCTGTGAAGTGCCTGTTCACCTGTATCTGAGCCCAGACACTTCATCTGTTTGTATCTGCCTGCAAAAGATGTGGGTTGTTAAAATACTAACCCTAAATACTTCCATCAGAAGACTGGCAAAGGCAATCCCAGAATTGGTCAGCAGGGTCTTACACACCTCACCATGCAGAGTACAAAAATACCATCTTTCACGTATTGTTTGAGCTACTGTTCTGTCTACAGGCTCTCAAGCTAGCTGGAAAAGACTGCATTAGCTGAATAAGGCATTAACTGGCTTCATGCTGCTTCCAGGACCACACTGAAACAGGAGGGGTAGGAAGAGCCTTTGTGAGAGGGGATCCACCAGCAGAGGAAGAGGCCATCTGACATCACTTGCCACAAATAGGGTTACAAAATCAGAACAAGGCAAAACACACGCTGGCTATTAATGGGAGGCTTGTTGTGGGCCAGTACATTGGGAAGATTGTTCTGCAGGGAGCAACATTTTGAGCTCCCAGATCTGCCAACGACAGTCTGCAGGGAATCTCCTCCATACAAATGCCACTGGGAACATCTGGCTTTAAATAACATGCGTTCTTTACCATTTAGCAAATCAATTCTGGTTTGTTTTTGCCCTGGATAGTCTTCAGTTATGTTTCCTCTGTTTCTTGGGAGGGCAAGGCTAGTGTGTGTGGCCCTCATGGGTTACCCAGTTGGGTAACAGCACACCATTTAAATTGAATTATTTAAATAAAGGAACAGAGAATGGTGTGCCATTTATACCCCAAATTCTCCTTATAAGGAGAAAACAATCTGAATGAAAACTGTGTGTACTACTTCACTCAGAAGTGAAAAGCAAGTTCTGTGGATGATTCCTCTGGGACAATCCCAGCACCTTTCACAGGCAGGGTAACATCCATCCCAGTCAGGTTGTGGTTAATGGCAACTGTATGGTCCCTCATATCCCCACCCTCCTATCTACTTGCCAGCTCGTGGATGAAGGGGACAGTGAGCATAAAGGGAGGGTGTTTTTTGTTGATGGTGCATGTCTGCGGTGCATGCCTCCAGTACTTCACCTGTAAATGGAAGGGATGCTTCCCTGGCTTATAGGATTGAGCTGCACAGCCCCATCAAGTTGTTTTCTAGGGTAATGCAACACACAGTCACTTCTGCATGTCAACACATCATCTCATTTCAGCATGATCTCCGCTAATGGAGCTAGGAGAGGAAGGTTTACCCCTAACAGCTTGAGCTGCTTGCACAACACGAACAGAAAGAGATGCCTTGGAAATCCATCCTCCTCACCAACTCTGAACTCACTTCACAGGAATCATGGGACAAAACTACTTCTGAGCCAACACACAAACACAAATCTGTTTGCTGTGGTAGGAAATAAGCTCTTCTCGCACCAAACCCCCAGATGGAAAGTGATGTCATTTGTATATTCATTCAGGCTTATTTAGACTGCATAAAATTAAATTCAACCCTTCTGAGGAAAGAAGGGGGAAAAAATCATCCCTCCTGCTTACTCACCCACCCAGAGCTGCTTTAAATAGAAAGTAAGGGTTTAGTCACAGAATAAAGCAGGGAGACAGGCACTTACTGTGCTTTGTAACCCTTGCTCCTTGGGGCAAGACAGCAGGGTCAGGACTCAGGAGAAGATATTGCACCACTCAGAGCAGCTCAGCTCCCCACAGACCTCAGATAGAGGGCAGAGACACAAGGCAGCAGCACCCACGGCAGGTCTGAATCTTGCTTCCTTCAGCATCCCCAGGCAGAGTTATCAGAGGTGACTGCAATTCCCAGCCTAACCCAGACTACTGATCCCAACTCCTGCTCAGACACCAGGCTGTGAGTACATGAGAAGCATTTATTCCACAAGCAAGTAACACAGTGGATGCTGGAATCTGTCACTTCTTTGGCTACTCCAACTAAATACAACAGGACTCATGAGTAAGACACCTCCATCAGGATTCTTGGAATCACTTCTGACCCCAGGAAGCAGCTCAGCAGAAAGCACCAAGGAAAAACTACAGCATCTGGAAGGAGGACAGAGCTTGCAATCTCCAGGGATTAAATTAATTAAATGGAGACAGTGTGGAATTACTCTGCAATAACATGAAGGCACACAGCTCAGTGTGGTAGGATCAGTGTGAAGAGAGAGGTTCTAAGATGAACAGAAGAAATGGATCCTGACACTGATATGCCTGCTTGTCTGTGGGAGACAGAAGTAGTTGCCTGAGACCTTTTAAAATTGAGCCTGGATAATAACACTGGAAAAAGAAACTTTTCCTGTAGGGATGAAACTTATGTTGGCAAAGAGTTGAATTGCATGAGCTAATAGGGCCCTTCCATCCAAGGGAAATAACTTACCCTTTTTCCTGGCTTGAGCAATGACATCAGCTGCACTTTTGCTCATCACCTTGGTGATATAAAGGGGGCAGTTGGTTTGGTTGGCAATGGTTATTGCCCGGTTCACAGCCTCTGCCTCCACCTGAGAAACAAAGTCAGCAGCAAGTTAGTAACATCCCCTGTGATAGCATATCCCATCCACCTTCCCAGGGTCACAACCTGTGCTTCCACAGGAAGACAGGGTGTGCAGGGTTGAGATCAGACTTTCCAACTTTCCAGTTCTGAGCCAGAAAAATGTACAGTGTAATCAAGATAATTAAAGTGACATCAAGTTGTAGTCCCCTCTCATTACTACATTTTCTCCCAGGCTGCTTCCAAGTTTCTCTGCAAGCACACCAAATCCTAAAATAACACTCCAGGTGCTCAAGGTCAGAATTATTAAGCCCCCTCTGTAACCCAGAGAAAAATAAGCAACTAAATGTTGACTCAACAGAAGTATTCCTGTTCCATCCCACACGGAAGAGGAATGCTGTAGCCACATATTCTGGTAAGCCACGTTTGCAAACAAGCCTCCTAAATTGTACCCTCCACTACAATATCTGGCTGAGGATCTGACAGAGTGAGAACCACCCCATCAATCAACTACTTTTTCTTGCATATGTAGAGAGATAACCTCAGCAAGACCAGGGTCACTTTATAATCACCAGCCCAAGAATGAATGTCATCACTCTGCAGGCTTTTACAGATCACACGTCCTCACATCAAAGCAGCCCAGATGACAGATTTAACAACAGGGAGATGCTCACAGTGCCTACTGCCACACAGATCTGAGCCTGCAACACCACACGAATTTTCCAAGCAAACAACAGAGGAAACTGAGACACAGAGCAATCAGCCACCTGATTCCCAAATGCAAGAGGCTACCAGAAGCTCCCATGGGCTCCAGTGAGATTGGCACGTGCTCAGCACTTTTGAAAAATCTGCTCTACAGTGACTTATGACACCATAATCCATCAGCAGTCCCCAAATCAGAACACACTGAGTGCTTGCTGCTAGACCATGCTTGAGACACTGAAAGAGGTACCTGAAATCAAGGACCCATCAGCTTAGGGAATAGTGTAGATGTCCAAGTTCCCAGACCAGCTCTGCTCATACTGACAAAGTCAACACCTGTAACACTGCTCTGTCTGCAGCTGGACTGCTCAAGAAAAACAACACTACAACAGCCTGGAGTTTTTAAAAGAAAACCAGCCCCCTCCCAAGCCAGCAGGTTAGTCTCTGTCACCAAAAGGGTTAAAGCCTTCACCTGCCCAGGCAGGGGGACATACAGGAGACATTTTCTCACTCAGCTGCCTCACACAAATGAAAAGGCTGCAAGGAAGGGCCTTTATTGCAGGACATTTGACTCAGGTCTGCCACAGCCAGCAGCACTTGCAGGGACTATGGAGGCTGAAAGGAAGGGCCAAGAAAAGCAAACTTACCCCTCCTGAGAGTCAAAGAGAGCACTCAGATGTGCCAATGCCTCCACACAATGGCATCAGTTTGTAAACTGCCTAGTTAAAGCAGGCCTGTGCACAGCTCTGCTGCTGCAGCACTTGGAAGTCACCTTTCCAGGCTGTGCCTTAGTTTCCCCACTGGCAAAGCAGGAACAACACAACAAGCATCTCCAGACTTTTTACCAAAAGGCATTTGAGCAACTGCTAAGCAAGAGGAGAATATTTTCTGCACAAAATAGAACAAGGCTGCTGAATTTATGCCTTGTGCCCAGATGCTATGGTGACAGGCACATAACAATAACCCAACGACTAGTCCAAAGGGGAATGTTTGCAATTACCAGTATGCATTAGAAGCCCTAGCACAGCAGTTCTCCTGGAAAAAAAGACAGACATTTCCTGGAGTACTTGGACTGCTTGCACTTTCAACGTTTTTTGTGGCTAAAATAAAAACAAAAAATGATGGTTCACTCCACAAAGTCATCACAGAATGATCTGAGCTATGAGGGGGAGAGTTTTCCAGAAAGTGATGGGTGATGCTGACTTGGGATGGTGGGGTCTTGATGAAGGCTCCCTTTGGTGGTTGGGACAACTATCTGAATACTGTCACCTTGGCTCAACCAAAGTTACTGAGGTGAGCAAGTAAAACCCATGAGTCAGCAGTGAAACTTAATCCTTAATTCATTCCTTCTGCTCAACCTGGGAATTCACAAGACCTGTACATTCCAAATGTATATGGCCAGACTCTGAATGCTTCACTCTGATTTAAGTTTCACTGAATTGGGAGGGATTTTCAATAAATATTTTAGACTTGTTCAACAACTCCTGCTAGGTTGCTGTAGATGGAGGTGTGAATTAAGCAGCTCTTCAGTAAGATGACAACCATTATAAAGTCCTTAGGGTAGGCTTTACATATCATCAGGGGAAGCATGAAAAGCCAGTTCTAGTGTCAACAGCAGCCCAGGGGGGATACTAAGAAACATCCACTCCTACTGAAGTCAACAGGAATTACACATCTACTGCCACCCTCAGAATCTGGCCTCAATCATCAGCCAGCATAAAGGGAAGTTGTATGTTTTCAAAAACACAAAGTTACACTCCGGTGTTGGAGAAAATGAAGGGAGGGAACCAGATGACATTGTTTCCTGCTCTGTTTCCTATGGCTTTCAAAGAGGAGAATTTTGGACGAAATGCTTCCACTCCAGTCAGACAGCACAGCTGAATTCAGCTGCACAGAGACTGCCCAGTGAACACTGGGAAGAGGCTTTACTGATCCTTGTTTGAGGCAGCCACGTGTCCTCAGCCCGCCTTCCTTGCTATACTGAGAAAGAACACATTTCTGCACAGATGTGACAAACCAACTAAGCCAGGGAACCACACAGATCACACTTTAAAGCTCCTACTCCGCCAAGGATGAGCTTTGAAGTGGCCAGACAAGACTTGGCTAGTTTGATGGCCAGATCCTTTAAGGTAAGGAGCAGCCTTCCTTTGAAGTCAATACGAGTTTAGGGGTGCTCCACAGATGAGCCCCAAGTGTCATGACAGCATCTGCTCCTGCTCTCCTGATGAGAGCCAAAAAGTACATAAAAAAAAATATGCAGGGGTGTGTGGGTGGAAAGCTGAGTGCAAGTGTTTGCTCACAACTTTCAGGAAGCAAAAAATCCCAGCTCCTAGAGCCAAACACAAATTCTGTGAGGATTTACATACTGCTCAAGTTGAGCATTTTTTTTTCCTCTTCTGCATAAAGCAACTGAATGATTTATATTCCT